CTGCATGTGCAATCAAAGGAACAGACTCCATCAGGCCAGGGACAGCACCTGCCCACCACCTGGCCCACACAGCCATGCTCCTGGTCTTCAACCTTGGCTGCACACACAGCACAGGCAGGAAAAGCTGACAGAACCTTCGGTGTTACATGGAAGTTGTGCTTTGTTAGTAATCTGGGAGGCAAGGTTTGGGAGGCAAAACCAGTTAAGCCAACACACAGGATTCTCAAGGGTCCTCAGTGCACAGACTGGTGCTGACTCAGCTTGGGCAGAGCCAGGCGGTCTGATCTGGCACATGTGTGTAAATACGAAAGGCATTTTCCTTAAACCCCTGCAAGGAGCTTCGGGGCTGTGACTTAAGAAACTGTCACACTAAAACGCGACCAAAGTAGAAGACACTGACAGCAAACACTTCCACATTAACTACAACCTAACCGAAATGAAACACACATGCCCTACCCACGAGGAGGATGGACACTCTTTACTCTGGTCTTTAATGGAAGGTGAGAAATGAGGAGAAGGTAAGTGGAAAGCAGACCCAGTAACACCACCAGGAGAAGATGGCCACACAGGGCAGCCTGCACTCCTGGATTCTGTTCCAACCTCTCCCACCTCACAACAGGTGCCTGCAATGATGGGGTCTGGTAACTGCTGGGTAAGGAGGCAATCCATGTCCCTGACAGGAAACCTCCACCCACTTTTCAAGAGCACACGAAGTAAAGACACCAGGAGTGACAGGTGTGCCGGGGCCATCAGGACTCTGAGCTCATGGGGTTGGGCCTTGGCCTCCCAACACAATGGAGCAGCAGGCAGTGCCAGAGCATCAAGCATCTGAATCACCATTCAGGACGCTTTACCGGAGTGCTGACCTACATCTGAGTTGGCAATTTCATTTATCAGGGCAGAGATGGAGAAAAATGGTTATTTTTTTGCAACAAACTCTGGGCAAACAGCACCAGGAAGAAGGAGCATAGCACTTGGCTCTGCCTTGGCCCAGCTGTGGGCTACTGGGAAGGCAATACTAAAGAGCCAGTCCTCAGGCAAGGTCAGATCCAACAAGCTGCAGCCGAGGCCAAGGGCAAGCTACGGGGAGCAGGCCAGAGGCTGCACACACAGTGCCCCTGAAGCAGCGGCTTGAGAGCCATGCTCTGGGAATGACACGGACACGTGGAGGTACAGATTCAGAATCAAGTGCAGGGAGCGTGTCATGCCATCCTGCAGTGTGCAGCCAATAAAACTAAGGATGAGAAATGTGGGGTGGGGAGGGAATCTGGTTAAATTAGTCTCTGATAAGAGATATATTAGCAGCTGGGCAGTGGTGGCGCATCCCTTTAATCCCAGCACTTGGGAGGCAGAGGCAGGCGGATTTCTGAGTTCGAGGCCAGCCTGGTCTACAGAGTGAGTTCCAGGACAGCCAGGGCTACACAGAGAAACCCTGTCTCGAAAAACAAAAACAGAAACAAAAACAAAAAGAGAGAGAGAGAGAGAGAGAGACAGAGACAGAGATTAGCAAAAATCAACACCTCTGATTATTTCTAACCCATACACAAATTTAGTGTATATGGAAAAACTCATGGGTTGAATACCTTTTAGTGGCAAGTCTCACCAGACAGCCCAACTGGATTCAGTACCGTGATTCCTCTGCCTCAGCAGGCACTAGGGTTATAAACATGGACCACCACAATGGGAAGGTGACAGGTCACACTGGGTAGGTAACAGGTCATGCTTTTAAAATAAATCTCATGAGAATACTGTCATGAAAATGTAATGAACATGACATAAAATCCTATATTCAGGTGAGGTCGTGGCTCAGAGGCAGAGCCCTTGCCTAATGTGCCAAGCCTTGGGCCTGTTTCCCTAAAACCAAAAGACAAACAGACAAAATCCAAACTAAACAAAAAACCAAAGTACGTTTGAAGGTTAGGGTACATAGTTTTGTGGTAAAGCACTTGCCTAGTATTTGTAAGGCCCTGGGTTCAATCCCCGTGACGACAAATACTCCCCTACCCCACTCTAAGATGAACGCCCTTAGACGTAGCTGGGGAGTGGGGGGGGGGGTAAGACTAGGAGTCAGTGAAGTTCATGCACTGGATCACTCGCACATAGACTAGGCTAAGATGCTCAGAGTTTCCTGGCTCTTCTGTCCAAGTGAGAAAGGACCACTCCTGCCAGATTACAAGGCTGTGAGCACTGTCCCCACCATGATTCTTGTGCCAGGAGGAGCCCATTCCAGTATGTGGCAACTCTGGCAGGGGTTGGGGCCCACACCGCTCAGCTGACTAATGTTGTCTCTATCCTGGCAAATGGGAGAAAAACCCATGATCGTGAGCTACAAGCCTGTCTGCACATCAAACAGAAACTCAAGGTGCCTAGGGTCTATCTCTGAGTGCTGTCAGGATAAACGGCTATGTTTGGAGAAAACAGTGAAGAGTTGGTCTTCGGGACAGTCTTGTCTAGTTCTTACTGTTGCTCTTAACCTTCTGAATCCCAACTCTCAAGTAGACTGGCTGCTGACCCATGATTTTCATACATACATACATACATACATACATACACACAGATGTGTGTGTTTTTTTTTTTGGGGGGGGGGGGGGGGGGGGGGCCCGAGATGGGAGTGAACAGGGCTAGTTGACACTCAGAGGGGAGCTTCCCCTTCGAATCGAAATGGGGGAGAAGACTTATGTGAGGGGGTACTAGGAGGAGAGGAAGGTCTGATATTGGGTTGTAAAGTAAACAAATAAATAAGTTTAATTTTAAGAAAAGAGAAAAAAGAAAAATAAATAAATAAATAAATAAATAAATACATAGGACTCAAGATGGAGAGAAGACCCTTCATCTGTTAAAGCAGGCTCCATCTTGCCGCACCCCTGAATGCAAAGAAATCACCATTAGAAATAGTGATGGTTGATCTTGTTGTCCACTTGACACATCTAAGGCACCTAAACTGAGGATTTACCTCCATCAGATTAGACTGTGGGCACTTCTATGGGGCATTTCCTTGATGGCTAATGGAGAGCCTGGCCTACTGTGTGGGGTACGCCAGTCATCTACATGTGTCCAAAGCAAGCGTGTCCGCTGGCCGTGTTATTCTACACCCCATCCAAAACCAAGCAATGAAAATGGAAGTTTCAAGTCTCCATTTAGAGCTGGGCATTGGGCTACACAATTGTAATCTCTATACATCGAAGGCCAAGGCAGGAGAATCATTCAAAATCCAGGACAGTCTCCAGTACAGAGCAAGACTTTGTCTCAAAAACACAGCACGAAAAAAATCCCTATTTGTAATGGTAAATATATCATCAACACTTACACCACGAGTTTTAAAAAAAAAAAAAAAAAAACAATGTCTCACACCTCAGAAAACTGGATGAGGATATTAAGGCTCAGATCCACTTCAGAATGAAACCACAAGTTCTCTGTGGAACACAGCGCTCTGTGTGCTACTCCTCTCCACTGGGGTAGTGCTTCCTGGCAACCATCTACAGCACATTAGCAAAGGCCATCTGAATGCAAGCTTGCCTTGGGGAATCTGGAGGCTGGAGCACCCCAGTGCTAAGATCTGTCAGTTTCAAAGACAGCTCAGTGCAGGTTTGTTGTAACCACCAAGAAGTCAATAAATACTTTGGAAAGAAAGTAACATCGAAATGCCTTAGCTGAAACACTCAGAAACTTCAGCTCTATCTCCCAATAGATTATCACAGAATCATAAAAACATCATAGCCTTTAATTAAAAACAAAAACAAACTAACAAAGTGCAAGACAGACTAATCACGTGGAGTGGGGGCTGAGGAGACCACGATGTTGGATTAGCCCGGGCCTTTGGAGGTTTTGAGAGCTAGTATACTGTGTTCACTGACAGTGTCTCAGCTTGGATGAAATAGTACAGTATGATACATTTCTATAGAAGTATAGTAAATAAACTAGTAACATAAATGCTAAAAATATAAGAAATAAAATTCTTTGAAAAAGTGATCTGAAGCTGGCAGAGAGGGTAGTGGGAAAGAACAGGCAAGGCAGATGCCACTCACCACAGCACTCCCGCTCTGAGAGCAGGTGATGGGTCCACGGGGGCTCATTTCCTAATTATGCTGCACTCAGAGCACACTGCCTGCTTGTACATACTCTTCCATGTATAGCTAACGTTATCTATACATATTACACACTATGGGTTTTATAAAAACATAAAAGGAATAAAATGTAAAGTAGGTAAAATTATCTCCTGTGATTTTGGGGGAGAAGATGATAAATAAGAACTTTACTAGCTGTTCAGTTCTCATCTTAATAGGTAAGTGAAGTGGAATGTGCTTTCTGGCAACTGCCTGTATCTCATCAGCAAATGTTCCATTCAAACATCACTATAGTTCTGTGACGAGGGAGAGCTGCAGAGTTTGAACACTTGATAGGATAGCAGAAAGATGCACATGGCTACAGCAATCCCAGAAAGCAGACACAGATGAACACACACACACACACACACACACACACACACTGGAGATATACATGGCTAGTGAACTCAAGAGTTAGCAAGAACACAAGCTGTCAGAAACCAAAGTCTGAGCTTGTGTCAGTCAGCACAGCACTTTGGACACAATCAGTGTGTGACTGTGATCACAGATGAGCATCAACTCTAAAATGTGTCAGAAAATAACCCTCTTATTATACACATGATCGACACTTGTCAGCAACCTCATTTTCAGGACACGTATTGATGGAGGATCTTCTCTATAGGATGATTACAAGACAGGAGACAGTGAAGGGGGTTGTTTCTGGCAAATGTAACATTTGAAAACAGTTGGTCAGTCCTGGGCTGTCTCATCTAAAGTACCTGGGCATTTCTCACTCATTTGTTGACTCTTTGGAAACTGGGACACTCGTATGTTTGAGGGGGGACGACTGTAAATCCCTAACATGTGACCCCACCCATGGCCTTAGCAGAGTGACAGCTGCTGCTGCTGAGCCAGGCCCATCTTCACATGGGGTGGGACCAGTAGGGATGGCAGTACCTGGAATACTCGCGGGGGAGATCGGACCAGACCTCGATTGGCTGCTTCCCACAGGAGAGCCAACAGGAGAAGGTGACGGCCCTCCGGGGATGCTGGAGAGGTGGGGTGATGCATGTGGGGAGAACGGTGACTGAGCTGGATTGCTCTGATCCCCCTGGCTGCTCGTAGACCCGGACGCACTGACTGCTGAGCTCAGAGCTGCTTCTGTTCCCGTGGGGAGGTCATCAATGGAGCCGGACAGGTCCTGAGGAAGAAAGAGAAAGCAGGTGTTCATACACGTGGGCATGGACAGCAAGCACAGGAAACACAGTTTGAAAGCCACAGTGCTGCTCCTTCAGAGACAGTGTGAATGGGTAAAACCAAGACTCGGAGTGGTCACTTCTCACGAGACTCCAGCAAACTCACACAGAAGGCCTGGTATCACTTAAACATGAGGCACCTTGCACTCACAAAGTGACTTGAAGGCTCCCCTTCTGCCACCAGCATCCAGCTCTGAGCCTATTCAAATGCTGTATCAGGCAGCACTCTGCTTAGCAAGTTACCACTGGAACAGAATAAGAAGACTTCAATAAACTGAGCAAGTATAGGCTTGGGGAAACTGTCATAAGGAAATTCAAGCTGGGATGTTGTAATCTAATAATGCTCAAAATTATAACTGAATTTTGTGGTGATAAATTCTCCTATATCTTTAAGCAATATAAATAAAATAGTGCATTTGCATTTTAAAATATTATGAAAACCTAATCCTACTGACATCATATGGTCAGAAATGAGCTCTAATGTTATACGATATGCCCTTATGCAACAATTCTGCACGGTTAATACCACTAACCACACCCTCAGAGGAAGTTACTAGAATCTCCACTTGAAAAATCCACAGAACAGAAGTTTGGAGTAGGGCTGGAGAGATGGCTCAGTGGTTAAGAGCACTGACTGCTCTTCCAGAGGTCCTGAGTTCAAATCCCAGCAACCACATGGTGGCTCACAACCATCTGTAATGAGATCGGATGCCCTCTTCTGGTGTGTCTGAAGACAGCTACAGTGTACTCATAAGTAAAATAAATAAATCTTTAAAAAAAAAAAAAAGTTTGGAGTAATAATTGCTTAAGGTCATACTCCTCAAGAGAGAACACAGGCAACTGGAGAGAAGGCAGGCAAGATGGGAGAGAAGACACTGTAATGGATAAGGATTTTTGTGGCTGTGTGTACAGGCCTGGAAGGAGAACACCTTTACCAGATGCCCAGAAACAAGACATAGGCCTGCTGGTATGACAGCTCTCCTAGGTGGTCAGCTCAGTAAGTCTGGAAGGCAAAAGCAGAGGAAGAGCCTAAGCCGACATATAAAACACCAGGGCATGCTGCTCTGAATGGATGTGCTCCACACAGCGCTGCCCAAGCGGAACCTTGCTTACTATAATGTCTTCTGAGGGGAGAGCTTTCAAGACGGAGTCCGGAAGCTGCTCGGGGCTCAGGAGAAATTCAGTTCAGAAAGTAAGCAGCTGACAAAACCAAGACTAGACCCTAGGCCCCGGACAGTGAGCTGTAGTAGGAGCTTCCTTTCTAGGAGAATGTTATCAAAGATAAAAATCTAAACTATAGCTCATGAGGCCCATAAAACCAGGAACTTTATACATAACATCTCATGACAAGAATACCATTGGTTTAAGTAAAATCAGGAGTAATCGTTAAAGTCAAATTTCTGCTTATGAAAAGTAACATGAAGACTGAAAATATCTAACCTCTGGAAAAGGTATTGTCAAGTCTCAAATAGATGAGGTAAATTGAATCATATTTTCAGAATTCAGAGATAAAACAAACATTTTTGCTGTAGGCGCCTGGCATACATGATTGTGCACACACTCAGCGGGTAGAACTTTCTATTTAAACTTGATTACTCACTGGCTCAGTGATGGTCCCCCTTAGAGCTTATAAATTAGATTTTGCTTTTACAAAGCCAGGTAGGAATAAAGGAAGGTTATTAATCCAGTAACGTGCCACACACGACTCAGAAATGAGCCAATACACACAATTAGTACGGTTCCATTAACAAAACTCAGGCTGACATTTCCTCCATACCTGGACTTCCTGCTCAGTTCTCACTGTACTCATCCTGAGAACTGACTGGGTGTGGACCTGCGGGAAGGAACAGGCATCTTGGGCTAACCTTCTCAGTGTTTGCCTCTAAGGTATCTCCTTCCTAATCCATGTAACCAACTCAAGAACTTGCAAAATGACTTCAACCAACAACCTGTAACCTGTGGGCTCTGCCTACAAGCTCACATGGTTAAGTGCTTGAAACAAAACACAAAGCCAACGACAACAAAACAACCCTTCCCCAAATCAGTATTTGTTAACAGACTAGAAATATATGGAATTCAAATGGTGATCTCCCTGTATTTCCTTATAGCAAGACACAGCAGCCCTCAGTACTGCCTATGACAGCTGAGGCAAAGATTGAGCAACTGGGAAAGACCATGTGACTGAGGATGCTTACCATCTGACTCTTGATGCAAAGACCTAGGTACTGGTGCTAGACAGGTCTTTGGTTAACCACAAGACCTCACTGCCTGCGCTAGTTTCTGCACATCTTACTAGCGACAGTACCACAAGCCCCTGAAAGTACTGTCTTGAGATGGAGGTTTATGTTGGGAATGGGTAATCTCGGCACTGAACAAAAACACACAAAGTGAAGGGAGCTTTGCAAAACAGTTCTTTTTGCCAAAAGGATGTCCTAGAACCTAGAAGGCTAGCAAGGTCACTCATCAAAATGGCTTTTTTTAAAAAAAAAAAAAAAAAAAAACCACAATGGGGTAGTGATGGTATCTCAGTCACTCCACTGGACCAAACTCAACCTTACAATTTGATGTGACTGGCTAATCGGCCCAAAGTGAGGATGGGGCTTGTCTCACTAAACTAGCTTTGATAAGAAGAAAAAGAAACCAAACCAAACCAGCAGCAACAACAAAACATTTCCCATATGTTTGCAAGTTTTCTCTTAAAAATGCAAAAGCTACAGAAGAAAAAAATGTTCTAGGACAAGATGACTTAGAAGGTGTGGGTGCTGTGACTGAGCCTGTGACCACCTGATTTCCCAGGGTAGCCCTGTACTACAAACCTTAGAGCCCGTGCTTCCCCAACACCAACAAGTGGGGTACACTCCATCCACATGAGACTCCTTGGGAGGAAACACTTATCCGCACACCTTCACAGAAATGATAATTTGGCAAATCGCTAGACAGACATATTCTACTACAGACCAAACAGAGTTAAACAGATACAATGTAAATTCAACTTTCAATTGTAGTTAAATAATTTTATGCAAATCTTCCTTCATAAAAACTGGAATGTTACTCATAAATTTCTGTAATTCTCTGCATGACCTACAAATTTCTTCCCCATCCTCCCTTAAAATTCCACATCATTGCTGAAAGAAGCGTCGAGTATGGGTGTTAGGAGAGCTCCGTTCACGCCGTAAAGGCATCCGACACATTCCTGTTATTCAACAGGCTGATCAAGGAAGCGTCAAGAGGGAAATATAAAGACGGTGGCTTCCTCCATGTTCACATGTCATCAGAATTTCAGTGCTGACTAGACCTTGGCGCAACAGAAGAGCAATAAAAAGATATAATTTTTATATTACTGCTATCCTCTCTCGGAACTTTTATATGTAAATGACACAGAGATGCTCCCGCCCTGCAGATCCTGGCGGTCTCCGTATGTAGAGCGATCTTAAAGCACACTAATAAAGGAAGTTCAGCAGTGCTTTAAGCATTCAGCCCTGGTAACACTCCCCCAGAGGACAGTCAGTCAGCAGGGCACCAGCTCCCTTCTTTGGTAAGTACCTCAGATCTGTGAGGCCTGCACAGGCAAAGCTGCCCTGCATCTCCTCACAGCCGAGGCACCTTCAAGCTACACTGCTTCCATTCATCTTGCTGGAGGGCTGGCAGGTCAGGGGCTGCAGCGAGGCTCTGTGGGGGTTGAGTTCCTGCCTCACAGCATCCCTTACGGCTGGCCTCTCTTTCCCAGTGGATAGAGGCCAAAGTTACTGCTCACCTTCATGACTGGATGTACTGAGATTCTGCTACCACACTGGGTTTTCTCTGTTTAATGCCACTCAAAATATTGAATATTTTTCAACACAACACAATTGATATGAGCTCACTACCAAGGGTCCATTTAGTTTTAAAAGTCCCCATGTAAAACATCTCAAAAACCTGCAGTATTTCTTTTTTTTAATTTTAATACCATTTCAGGGCAAGGTCTCTACAATTTACCACTGCCACCTCACACCCCTCACTGTCCTGAGGAAAATTTCAGTCTAACCTAAGTGACTGGACAATGAATGAAATGCAACACGAATGAGATAGAGCAACAGGAATCTTATCTGACTTGTCTATGAATTAATACAGCTCAACAATAAACTGATTTCTTACGTGGATGCAGTAAGAGTCAGAGAAGGAAAGCACATGGCAAAGTCTATGAAGATGGTGTGCAGGAATCACTTTAAAAGCGCTATCCGCAAACACTACGTACAAGCTTTCTCAAGTCTATACATTGCATGAACCTTCCTGAAAATACTCATGTTAATTATTTATGAGTCACTACATCAAAATTTCTTTGGCTTTGATGGCATGGTGTTCAATTTAGCACATGTTAGCCCAGGATAAGTTCAGTCAACACTGGAGACATGATACTGATTTAGAGAACTGGGAATAAGCTAGCATATTGTACTCCCTAGCTTAATTAAATAAGTGGGTTTTCAAAAAGCAAATGAACTTCCAAATACACCAAGCCACAGCTCTCAGTACAATTAGCTGCTGGTGGAGAGATGCCCTGATGGTGAGCTGCCCCACACGGCACACATTTGGGCAGCTGCTTAAGCGTGCCACATGAGGACGTGGGATAAACAGAGGTAGGAACAGAGAAGATATTTCAATCAGTGCAACAGGCACAGGCCTCATTTCAGGGTTTTAATAGGACAAAGCTAATGATCTCTCACTGTGACTTCCCGGGGGGCTTAAGGCACTGGTTAACATGCCAGTTTATAACTCTTCAAAACTCTCAGTGATCTTCAGCAGCAGGAAGACCTTGCTCCCTGCCCCACACAGGAACAAAGAAACACATGTACACACATCACATACACACATAGAAACAGAGAAGCACGCACGCGCACACACACAGACAGAAACAAAGAAACACACAAATACACACCCCACACACGCATGTGCACACGCACACACACAC